GGGGGGGGGGGGGGGGGCTGAGAGAGACTGGAGGAGAGAGAGAGAGAGAAATGCAGAGGAAACCAGCCGGTGATGGACAGCTAAGATATGCAATAAAATAGAAGGCGGCGAAGATATCGCCGGTGCTTCGGTGGGAGGGCACCGCGTCTTGGCACGCCAAGACCTTGGTGCTAACCCTTTATCCTGTGGTGATGATTCGTGTACGTCCTTCATTGAATTCACGAAAAGACGCGTCTGAAACGCCTCTAGCTTTGAACGAGTACCTCTTCTCCTTAAGGCCGAGTGGTCCAAGAATCAAATCGGCTACCTGCGTGATGTGCTCATCAACTGGCCACCACAAACAAGAAACACGCGCATTTATTCCGCTAATATGAATACATCCACAGATCGCTTGTGTTGTTATCCACGAGTCGCGCTGTTTCGCGTAGTTTTGTGGTTGGTTGACTTTTCTCAACTGTAGGCGTGGAACAGGTGTGCAGGAGGTGTTTCAGCTGCTCCTCCACGACGTGCAATGCGGATCCAGCGGATTGATACTCTACGAAGGAACCATCTGGTTGACGTAAGGTGCAATCCGCTTCGACTAATCCGCGCGCGATGAACAGCATCCAAATCTCCGATATTGGAGGACAAAGGGGTGTTTGTGTCAAGGAAGATAATCTCTACATCCATTCCACACATGCGACAAAAAGCTGACTTAAGGTAAGGTTGTACAGGACGTAGAGTGCGGTTGCAAACGACTGCGAACCCTGCCGTAGACAACAACGACACAGCAGCCGTGAGCCGTAGAAGGCAGGCAGTGTCGTCCATGCAAAGAGGGCAATGTTTGGCTTCTCACCAAAATTTGCTCGTTTTTCATTGGGAGAAACAAACTGGGAGAGGGCAAGTTGTAGGGAGAAAACTCATCATAAGGTCAACTAGCCAGAGAGTTACAACGAGTATCTACAGTTCTCAGCCAGCAAGCCACGGTTCCGCCATGGGCGTCTGGAACATAATCGACATCATGCCAGTGTATCATCTCTGGCCCCCCACGGCCGCACCGCCACCGTCCGCAAAGCCTCTGTGAGAGGTGTGCTGACTTCGATGGCAACGAAGAGGCAGGCGGGGATAAATCCCAACCTAACAAAGGCCAAAGCAGACATCGGCAATGTCCTTGCAGACGCTAATCGTCGAAGGATGCCGATGCAGCCAGCAAACAGCAACACCCGGGTCGGGGAGCAGCAGCCCGGTTATCACGTCGAAATCTAGCGGTACACTCTCACCACTTATTGAAGAGCTGCACATCAGAGATGCCGGACTCCTCGACGGCCAACGGCGCCTCCACCTCCGGCTCGCCCCACCCTTCGGCGGCACCGGCATCGTCAGCCACCACTGGCTCTCCTCCATCCCATCCGTCGGGGTTCAGTTCGGTGGCCATGTTTGTTCCGGCGTACGGGGAAGGGACGCTGGAGGGATGATGGCTACCTCGCGGCCACGAACACAGCGGAGCTCCGTAGAATTATTCACAATAGTACCAAGTACCCTCCTACAAGCAGGATACTTTGTGTCGCCCCTCCCTCAAAGTCCTGAGACACCTGGACAGAGCACGGGGCCAGCCATAACAAAGCTGGGCCATGCATGTCGCAGTGGGTGGAAGATGCTCAAGGACCGCCGCTGTGAGGTTCTTTGGATTACGCAGCGGAGACACTATCGAGAGTGTGCGATGGGGCTCTGGTGCCGCTTCCCAAGTGAGTTGTTTACCCATGGACTATGCGGCTACAGCAACATAAGTTACCTGTAGACGGCTTACAAACAACAAGCAGCAGGCCTTGGCGCAAGCATGTTGTGTGTCGTCGATGCCAGCGTGCCGGCAGGGGTGCACAGTGTTGTTGGGATGTTTGGTGCGTCCATTGCGGTCTTCGCCTCTCCTCTCTAGACATTCAGCAGTGAAATTCAGCAGCAGCAGGTGCGGCACACGGCGGACAGCAAGCAGTCAGTACGATGTTGCGGGTATAAGGGAGGCGACGCGGTACATTTCTTCACCTAGCGTTTGATTCAAAACACATGTCGTACAACAATCAACGTGAGGATGTAACCCTTACAATGTACAGCTATGGCATGTGTATTCGTCTACAATCAATGATACCGTGGTGTATCATTCAATATGGTTCAAGAGACGAGCAGCAGCAGTCTAGGTACTGCTGTGTACCGCCGTAGTACGCCCAACTTGTTGTCTTCTCAATCTAACTGGTGCATCGCATCGAACATGCCTACACCGAATATTGTCGTCGATTGGCGCCGAGAGCAAATGAGAGTATTCAAGACACACCATCTGCAATTTTTAGTATCACCCCCTCTCCCGATTGTGTGTGGTGATGCTGTGCTGGAGAGCGGTCCCGGTGAGTGCTCACATCCTGCAGAAAACGTCGCTTGCAACGCACCGTGGCACTGCCGCCGTCCGCTGAGCTGGGTGTTGCTAGTCCGGACATCAGCTATTTGTCACGCCCAGTCGTGTTTTTTTTCTCCGCCGTACCGGCTGGCTCGTCAATGAAGACACGCTTTATAAGCAGTGGTTGTCTTCGGCAGGGCAAACAATGCAAGAACTCGTTGTAACCCGCGGGCTCCACTACTGCTCTCAGAGTAGGCGTGGAAGAAGAGATCGTGCATGCGTGCTGTGAACAACCATTCACGCAGACCCCTTGTCCCACCCCCGCCAACATGCCCACATTGGCAGCGACATGTTGGTGGGTATTGGAGCTGGGGTATCGAGCCAGACTTGCGAAAGTTGTACTCTGTAGTTGCAAGACATGCCCTCGACACCCTTTTTGGTGCTGATAAACGAGCTGCGTTCTAGACACCTGCCAGGTACTCCCTGTTCCATAGTTCCCCTCCTGCTTTTTCGGGGTGTGGTATGCATGCACAGTATCGATACATAGCATTGGATGAAAGAATATCCCCGTCCATCACTGCCGATGAGACGTCAACGGTTTGCTGGTTTCTCTCCACGCTCTGCTGACGTTCAGCACCATCTCTTTTCGTCCTGCTTCCTTTCTCTCTCCATGTTCAGCATCATCTCTTTTCGTCGTTTGCGCGGCGTGAGGGAGGCCCTGACGACAGCACCACAAAGGCCAGAAACAGGTGAGGAGATATGTCCATTCAGCAGATACAGAGGCTGGAGCGCGCCCGCCAAGTTGCGGGACAACGACCCAAGTTGGCGTGGTCGGAATCAGTTCCTGGCGACCCTGGCACGTGGATTGGGACACCAATCGTGCAGCCAATGTCGAACTACCTACACCCGTAGCCCCAACCTAACAGTCACCCATAGACCGTGTGTTATGGCACCGTATGCTTCATCTTTCGACATTGAGCCTGCGATTCTACTTTTTCGACTACACCATGGTGTTGGCTGTGTGCTACGGCACCGTGGCACTTTCGTATGCTAGATCGTTCAACATGCACACGCTTGTTTACCCGGCTTCCCTGTCATGCACAACCCGCTTCATTTACCCCATGAAGACCACCACAACCATCAACAGCAACTGGCAACAACAAACAACAACATGCAACATCAACAAGCGCCGTTCGTTGGCGGCATTTGAAGATAAAGCCTCCGTTGTAAAGAAGGAACGTGAAGCTAGTATGGGACAATATCATTCAAATCGAGATTGGAAGGAAAAGAATCATACCAACGTCAACAGCGACAAGAACGTAATTTACCCCATCAACACCACCATGACCAAAACCACCACCACCGACAACTAACAAACAACAATAACAACAACATCAACACCAACGACTGATAACAATATCAAAAACGACAATAAATCGCCCTTGTCTCATGTCTCATTTATCGTGTCTCGTGTCTCGTGTCTCATGTATCATGTATCATGTATCAGGGCGAGGGCCCAAGAGTGGGCGACCGACGACCAGCGGAGCAGCCGGTGGCGGTCCGGCGGGAGGTATCAGAAGTCCAGGGCCGGGAGTCAGAAGAAGCGCGACAAGACCTGGCAGAACTCGGACCCCCACGAGGTATTGTACAGCACCAAACAAGAAAGTGAGGGCACAAGAAGGACATGTATTTTCTTACCTTTTCACACCTAGGTGTCTCTAGAGGGCCTGGAGAGGGGGGGGGAGGGGGGTTCTCATAGTCGTGCATGCCGTAGTCGTTAGACCATTGACCTCGCATCCCTACAAAGCCGGGACGGAGCACGCCGTGTTCTCACCGGACCAGGCTCTCACATCACCAAGCGCGAAGCGCCGTGAGGTATTCGGCGAGTCGCATGAAGGTTGCGCTGTATCCTGCTAAGGGTGTTCGGCATCTTGTGCTTACTTCCTTGCGTACGAATGACAGCTGCGAATGACTTAATGTATTTTCTGGTGCTTTCACTTCCAGAGACAGTTGTAAGCACTGTGTGACTGCCTCGAGGGTGCTTGACCATTTTAACACAACTTGGTGCGATCATCCCCCTTGCGCGGAGTGAGGGTTCTCGACCCCGCACAACATGATCTACTCGACCACCATTATGATAACCACCAAAAAAAAAACAGAACGAAAAAAAAACGGTAACCTGGTTGCCGAGTTCACTAAGTGAATTGGCTTGTTTTACAACGTCGTTGCCAAGCGACGAAAACCCAACCCCGATAGCAAGCACCG